TCTCATGGCAGAGGACCCAACAGCGACATATTATCAGCTGAAAAACAGCTCAGTGTGTCTGAATGTCAGGAAACCGCCACCATATAAACGTGGTGAATGGAAATTTAACACAATGATTATTGTTGATGATACAGAAATCAATCCAAAATACACAGACAGAGTGACTTATAGTGCTGGAAACCTCTCCCTGTGTATTAATAACCTGGCTGATACAGACACTGGCATATATGAAGTCTCATACCGCTTTAACTATATTACAGTGTCAGAGAAGCATCAAGTCATTGTTCAAGGTAAGATATAAGAAGAACTTTGTCTTTAGCCTGTGCATGAATCTATTTTACATATTATATTTTTCTGGATTTGGTAGCATTTGCCTTGCAGTCAGCTTTTACATTTTCTTGTGACTGAAGGGAAAACAGAATCAGTTCTTGTCTTTAACCACAACATCATATATTCTACAATTTTAGAATCATCCAGGTCATTGTTAGTTCTCGTTTTTGCATTAAATCATTAATTTATCTGTTTGGCTCAAAATTATAGATGTGGTTCCCAGACCTGTCATTATAATGTCAAAGCTTGGCTCCAACCAGTCTGCTGGACTCTGCAGTATCACAGTAAACTGCTCCATCCAGGATTATTGGCTTTGGTCTGTTTGTGATGAAGACGGCTGCAGAACATCTCAGAAATCATTCAGTGAGGTCAACATCACCATCTTCACTGAGAACAGAGCTGTGGTCTGCAGAGGCAACAACCATGTTAGCACAAATAAAGCTTCTGAAAACTCAACACTGTGTAAGTATTAAATTAATTAATTATAAATAACAGGCTGTTGATTTTATTTAGACAAATACACTGAATATTTTCATATATTGTTCCCCTCATATCTTTACTCTATTGTTTGTTATCATAAAAGTAATTGTATTTTTATGTCTGAAAATAAAAACAAATATCCACTGAAACTATGTTTTCATATCTGCAGGTTTAAAATCGAATAAAGATGAAGAGAAATCGCAACAACTCATACTAAAAGGAAGATTTATTACAGTTTCTATATTAATTATCCTCGGAGTATTTTCTGTCTTTTTAGTTAAAACAAAATACAAATCCTACAAGGTAAGATGTATTTGGTAACAGACAGTGTTGGGAAGGTTACTTTTAAAATGTATTCCATTACAGATTACAGATTACTTTGCTGTCTGGGTCAACTTTGCTTGCGAGAGACAGAGAGAGGCGTTGAAAGGCTGCTCCAACGGAAAACACGAGCACAGTGTACAGTCGAGTCTTAATAGCTTACTTACAACTGGGCTCGTCAGGCACTCTTCTTGGCTGCAGTGGTTATTATTATATTTACATG